CCTGAGAGCGCAAATTTTGTCTTGCAATCCACGAGTTAAAAAAGAACCGCGCGGCTAGAAAGGATCTGGGTACTACAAGCTAAGGTTGCAAAGGTTGATCTGATACGTGTTGGCGAGGAAWATAAGCTTGTACAGTAAATTTGAAGCAAAGCAAAATGACTGAACGAAGAGTAGTCTTGGCTATTGACGGTAGTGAGCACAGTCACAGAGCTTTTGAATGTGAGTATTTGAAAGCAAAATTGTACAGTTTTTGTACATGTTTTGCAAGGTGAAGAAACTCGATATAATTACTCCGTGATTCGTGACATTGCTTATAAAATMGACATTCTTCTGCTTCTCTTTGCTTTGAAGCTCGAACCTAGTGTTTTTTCTAACTTACCTTTTGATTAGCAGAATAATCTTTACATGTAGGTTTTTGATGCAGTGATTTAGAAATAATATGAACAGTTTTGAGATGATCTTTGATTGCTTGGTGACTCAGGTGATTGGCACAAGATCAGACTGCACGTATTCTACGTTGTGGCTATATAACCACAGTGTAGATCTGAGATTGGAAAACATGCTTTTCGTACTGTCTCAAAACCTCAAATTAGCTCATTGTCGTTGCTAGTATTAAAATTGATGGCTGTGATATGAAATCTTGCGTGGTCTTGATAACGGGCTTATACAATTATTGCGAAGCTGAATTAATTAAGCTTAATTTAACTAACATTCAATGCAAACGTGTACAAGTTATTCATGTTTTAAGARCTTGATTAATCTATTGGTAATGCAGAAATATTAGAATGAAATGTTCATATCTATCTATTTATYGGGAGTTGCAATAAGTGGTCAAGAGGTAGTTACATTGTATAGTTATGTGCCAGCCATGATCACAAATGGCCTTTTGCAAGTTTCTTTTGTTTTCTGAGAAAGAAACGTTTGCGCGTGATTAACACGTGAAGTGTCGTGAATTATATAACCTTGATCTTGTACTATCATATAATATGCTGGTTGATACATCTGTACGTAACACTTCACAGATCAAGTACATCCGTGAACTTTGAAATATAAGGGAGAAAGACTGTGGGCACCAAACTTCATTTTATTTACACACTTATATCAGAYAATGTCACGATTTTTGCCCTTCCAAGTTAAAATCCACATTGTGCTAATTAGTGCATAACAGTGTCAGTTCTTGATAATACATTTTCAACTTCTGTCTTTACCTTAATCTAGAGAGTGCAAACAGTAAAATTATTACTAATTAATGTAAATATATCTAAATTGTACTGAATTATGCAAATGTTTTTGTTTTCCATCCTTACTATTTAACACTGTTGAGCACTCAACTGTTTCTTTTTCATACTTTTAGTGTTTGCACTCTGGTATAAAGCAAAATAGCACTCAAGAGTGCAATAGAGTGTAGATTAGACAATAGAAAAAAAGGAATTTGCATAATTCAGTACAATTAGCACTATTTAATTACTAAATAGATATAATTATTATGATCTGTTGACTAGCTGAAGTTTTGTTATATACATGTAATGAAATACCAAATTAGAGAATTAGTAACATAGGAATGCAGTAAAAAAGAAGATCCTGTACTCAAGCTAAATGATTTCATCATATTTCATTTAATTTCTGGATTACTGTGTAGTTCTTTTTCAAATATGTTATTTTTTTGTTATTGATTATATAAAACTACCTTGGGAAAGCATTTGCTAAATTTWTATCCCTTATTTATCATTTCCTGCCTCTAATTTATATATTTTTTTTAAAATACTCAGGTGAAGTCAGTATGTAATATAAAAGTATCGGTAACCTGTGCATGAGTGTATGCATGCATGATTATAACATCTGTTATCTGATATGATTATTCTAACAGTATCCAATATCACTCATCCTGCTGTAAACAGCTGGAATCTTTATCATAGTTGAACCATCCCCATGAAAATACACTAACACATTAAATTATTTATCAATATATTGTTTGCAGTCTTAATTGACCACTTCTAAGTACCTGACACTAGTAATCTATTACAAAAATATCCAGCACTGATGTGAATACTGTGTAAAGAAAAATACATTTTTGAGAAGTTCTGAATAGCRACAAAATGCCAATAGTGTAAGAGGAGAATTCAAGAGATCTTATTGGAGTTCAATCTCCATGGTTTTTCTTTATGATTTTTTTGTTGTCAAAATAAGCAATTTCCTTCTTTCTTCTCCATAGTTTACTGTGAAAATTTGTATCAYGAAAATGATCTTCTACTTGTCATCCATGCATTTGAATTGCCATCCATGCCAGCAGCACCCTACCCATGTAAGTATTATCATGCAATATAGTTTTAAGGAGATAGCTGTATATCATTGTTTTGCAATTTTACAATTTGTTTTTATTATGGAGAAAATCTKGAAAGTCTTGGATGAAGAACTGCATATTTACCCAAATCTAGTTCTTGTTTGTTGTTTTCTGTTTTTCCTGTGCTATTCCATTTGTGAGATCTTCACTATAGTTGGGTTGGCAAAACAAGAATACAACTTAACACTGATGAATAAATCATCAGCATATGAATGCCATATACAGGGTATATTTTTCGGCTTATAATTAAAGACAAGTTTGAATGAAGGCAACATTTTGTACATAGTCCATAGCTTCCAGGGCCTTAGGATGAATAATACTAATTGAGCTGGAAAACGCTATCCAACTTTTGTTCATCAGGACCTCACAGATAAAACAGGAATAGTTATTGAATTGTTTTTAATAGTTATTGAACTGTCTGCTTTGACTATGTTCGATAACTGTTAGTTCTTTTTACTGTAAGATGGCTATGCTTATTACAAAGAGTGGGATGACCTTGTCAGGGCTGCAGATGATGAAGCCAAGGAAAGACTAGAGAAAGTAGGAAGGCAATGTCAGGAAAAAAAGGTAACTTTTGCTTTACTTTTTGTATTTAAAATGAAGAAACATAATGTTATCTTAACAGAAGAAAGTTCAAATGCAACTCTTATTAATAGGTAATATGCATTATGTCGTCATTTACTACAACTACCAGAAATTCTGCAATCTGAATTATGCTTTGCCAACTTTCTTTTGTAATGCAATTAGTGCCAATTGTTTTATTAATCTCCAAGGTGATTAAAAATCTAAATAACAATGAAAATGTGCAAGGCTCTCTGGTAGTTGTAGTAAAGTTACGTCATAATGCAAACRGCCTATTGCATTTCTGTAAAGTTATTGTGTTATGGTTTCCCTGTGTAATATGTGTGCAYATATCTTCTGATACACATGGTATTCAGCCAGAGTCTATACCATACAGTAATATTAAAAGTGAATGAAACCATCATGCAATTGTAAGCCTTGGCAAAAAGAAAAATTTTGTTTTAATGTTTTCATTATTTTTCAGTTTTTTATCATCTTTTTTTCAGTATAAATTCAAGTTATTCAAGGAAAGTGGAAAAGCAGGAGAAGTGATCTGCAAATTTGCCAGTGACGAGAATGCTGATATGATTATCATGGGATCTAGAGGTCTAGGGACAGTTCGTCGTACTTTCTTAGGAAGTGTCAGTGACTATACCGTCCATCATGCCCACATTCCTGTTGCTGTCATYCCACCACCCCATGAGGAAGAATGCCAGCAAAAAACAGCGTAGAAATTCTACAGCATTATGCAAATCTTCTCTTTTTGAATTCTTATCCTAAAATATATTGAAATTTTGTATTACACAAGAGACCTTTTTAATCATTACGGCCGCCATTTTGAATTTTCTATACTAGACGAATTGGGAACTTAATAGACAGGGCAGTTACAATATGATTCAATTGTACACAATCGAGTTTGATTTTGATGCAGTACTAGATAACTAATATGATTCAATTGTACACAATCGAGTTTGATTTTGGTGTAGTATAACTACGTTTTCAAGGAAAGTCTTTTTTATAGAGGGAAACAGCCTCCCTATGGGAACTAACTGGGGACTGTGATGCAATTCAAACTAGAACCCTTGTGCATCTTGAGCATGTAATAATCCAAGATGGCAACCGTATGGGTAGAATGGTCTATAACCACTATAATAGGTATGTTTGTCAATTTAACCC